ATTAAATGCAGATGTGACTCTGAGATGAGATTCGAAGGTCTTGCAGCATGATGTGCTGTTAAAAATACTCATTAATGATTTAAAAGCAGATGTCATTAATAAAACCACTCTGATGAATTCTTCTCCAGAGGTAATTTTACTGTATTTACTGCTCCAGTGCTTCTTCTGTGGAGGCTGCCTGGACATTTATGCTCATGATTCATAATCCCACCTCCATTCATGCGCACAGATTTTCAGAAAGACATGAACTGGTTCTTACTTTGGGTTTGAAGAAAGAGAGGAAAGATGTTTTTGAATCTGTTTTCTTCTTTTCTTCCTGAACAGGCGGCGGCGGCTCTGGCTTCGCAGCAGCCTCCAGGGTGCCGGTTTTTGAGGGATCCACTTTCTGTTTTCAAAGCGGCAGAAAGGAAAATACACATCATGAGCTATTGACAAATTGAAGGCATGACCATCATGGAAGCTGACAGAGCGAGAGAGGGGGATCTGCCACCTGCAGGTGAAAGAAGAGGAAAGAAAATATCCAGAGGTCAAAGCAGAGCGGAGGCGGAAACATCAGAAAAATCCTCAGATCTAGTCTCTGTAGGAAACAGAACCACACGACACCATGCACCAAACAATGTGAATATCTGAAAAAGAAAAAGGGAGGAATAAGAGATTGTCTTGCTTTAAAGGGCTTGCTTTAAAATACTCTTCTTCTCTTTCTTCTCAAAGAAAATCTCTCCATTAAATATAAAGCTACAGCCAGCTGCAGGTTAGCTTAGCTTAGCATAAGGACAGGAAACAGAAGGAAACAGGTCCTGTGATAACACAAAATCTGAATTTTAAAGCAAATGAGATAATTTCCCCTTTATTATTTTACCTCTAATTCTTCCACTGGCACTGGTTCTCCATCTACCACCTGCAGGAAAGGTTGAGTTATTTGTTTTCCCCATTAATTCAAATACTGTTTAAACTTCAGTAAATTGTTAATTACAAACTGCAAACTGCTGTTTTTACTGAGATGAAGGAAGGAGTATTTGATCGTATATTACATGAGCATCAGTATCAAACGGTATCAGAGGTGCCTGCAGAGAGAAGAAGTAAAGAAAGTATTAATATGCCCGAGCGCTTCTCGTTGATTTACCTGCTCCTCTACAACAGGCTGTTCCCCCTCCTCTGCTGTCTCCTGATCTTCGACCTTAATTTCATAGTGAGCAAAGGCAAATGAATCCAAAAGCAAAAGATCCACTTCACTCAGAAGACGGTGATGTGATATAATCTGATTATTCCATGTGATAAAATCCCCGAACATTCAGAACACGTCTTTACCTGGACCTCTACAACTGGCTCTGGTTCCTCCCCAGGTGCCTCCTGCAGAGTAAAACTGTTTAATCTGAGTATAAATAAATGAATATTCTGTGTGTCTGTTGTGCAGCACAGACACAATATGCTTTAAATGCATGATATGAGGAGCTGCTGGTGAGACACACCAGAGTACATGAACACAGTTGAGCGGAGTGAGCAGACTCCCTGTTTTACCTGTTCTTCTACACCCGGCTGCACCTCTACATGCACCGCTGGCTGTGGAGGCTCTTTGATTGTCTGCAGGACAGCGGAGGAGTTAATATTGTTACAGGAAAAGTCAACGAGACGGACAGGAAGCACTGAGAACTTAGTGAGTTAGCGTGACAATGAATGACGAGCAGCATGAACCGCTTAAAGGAACTACACTATCATAGAAAAACATATAGTAGAGCAGGTCCATCTGCGAAGGAACCGTCAAACTACTGAGGCTACACTGAAACTGTTGCTTAGTGAATCCATAATATCTCAGCTACACTTTGGTGGAGTTACAGGTTTCAAGTCATATTTGTACAGTAGCTTAAAAAAACACATTTCAGTCCACTAGATCCGGATCTTTATTTGGATCCGCTCCTATCGTGCACGCTCAGAGATATCAGTCCGCTCATTATGTCGGATTTTTGCATCTATCCACCTGGTCTGGATCCATATCAGAAGTTAAATAGTTAACTTTCTTAGCCCGTGTCCCATCGTTCTACCAATTTTGTTGAAATCCGCTCAATAGTTTTTGCGTAATTCTGCTGACAATCAAACAAACCAACCAAAGGGTGAAAACCTTTTCAGTTTCACCTCGTTTCTACTCTTCGTGCTAAGCCAAGCTAAGCTAAGCTAAATGCTTCCCGGATTCAGCTTCTAACGTCGAGCACAGACATGAGCGACGCTTCGATCTTCTCATCTAACTCTGGGCAAGTCAACAAAAGTGAAAAGATTTCTTTAAAATGTCAAAGTTTAAATAATGTGAATCACCAGTGCAACACTGATCTTTGTGAAAACATGGACTGCGGTAGAAACAAGGATTTCAGACTAATGTCCAGTAATTGTTCCATGTCAAACTGAGGAGACTGATGCGTCTTCACATAATGTCTGAAGCACATTGTTCAGTTTCTGCCACCTCCAGAAAATAAAAGAAATCAGCTCTGGTTCAGTTAGTAACGGGATGAGCCGCGGTCAGTTCGAGGAAACGGCGATCTACCGTACCACTGCTGCGGTCTTGGCCGGGGCTTTGGCTCCACGTGCTGCAGCAGCCTTGCCTTTGGAAGCCTTGAGTTCTAGCAGCACCTCAAATTCACATACAGCACGTTTCACACTGCGTTATATTCTCACACCCTGTACTCAGTGAAAACCTGCCTCTGAGAGTAATGCTTCTATCTTGTGATCTCCACTTATTTACCTTTGGGCGGAAGAGTTTGCTCAGAGCGCCTTTGGCTGATTTTCCTTTCGAGGGCTCGGGTTGCTTGGCGGCAGCTTTTGGTTCGTCTTTGGGTGTCGGCTTCACAGGTTTGGCAGCTGCTTCTCCCCCGATTTCCATCTTCGGTGGCTCCGGAGGAGGAGGAGGTGGGATGGACATTCCTTTGGGTGCTGCAGGCGGCTCAGACACTTGTGCAGTCTATTCAAGATGGAGAGAGAGCGTTAAGATGAAGGAAACGTTTATCAGCATTTTGTGTAAAGGCAACGTATAATATCAGATATCATCAGTTAATAATAGGATTAGTATGTAAACAGTAAAATGAACAAATGAAGTGTCAAACTGAACCCAGTCATGTTCTGGAAGTGTTTTTCTTTTCTCTCATAAAAACAAAAACAAGTTCAGGGTTATATGCTCACAGTCGTGGCTGCCGCTGGTTGGGTCTCCTTCTGGGACTATTAGGCAACAGAAAAAGGAAGCAGTTCAGTGAGTGAAATTAAACCTAAGCAAATGAAGATCTGTCCTGTAAATGCTGGTCCCTTAAAATGTCACAGAAATATCCTCAAACACAACAGAAGTGTGTTACAGCGACTTGCACCAGTGTTCGATAATCAAATGATCATTAATATTATTGGATTAACTGATAAGGCCTTGGAAATAAAGCAATTAGAGCAAATCAAATAAAAGCAATAGGTCGTGTTGTGTAATGGAGTGAAATCTGTAACGTCATCGGTTCACCTGATCTTTTGTGGCGTCTGGAGTTGGCGTTTCAGTTTTGGTTGTTTTAGTGGTAGTCACCTGCGCATAAAGAAAAAGTTCGCAAGGAATAAAAGTTAAAAAAATTGAAAAATGGTATGATTTTATTGTGTTGTTGAATGTAGCTGACAGTGAAGCTGAAAACGGTCAGGAACAGAGGATGTAGTTGATGTAACGGGGACAGAAAAATTATTATTTCAATAAACAGAAGCCTCTCATGAATGCAGACATAGGGCTCTGTGGTGCGGCCTGACTCAGGCACACTGAGGGCACTCTGAGGTCCCTGACAGAGCACATACAGTACATGCGCTGTCATTGTGACGGCCATTGTGCTCCGGCGATGGCGTAGGCCTGCCCTCGCTCTATCTTCACAAACCTCCACTTCCATCCGCACAGGCCTCCCTTGTGAGCTCACACTCGGGGCCCGAACAATAGGCCACCACATTCCCGCATGTTCAAATGCTTGATTAGCATGGGCCCGGGGCGATGGTAACTCTTTAAAACGGCAGGAGTCCAAAAGACAGCATGATGAAGAGGAGCACAATCGCTGCTCGTTGTTGTTTGTGTCACTGATACCTTTAAACTGACACTTTCACAAAACAGACAAGTACAGATGAAACACAACATCCTCACTGGTTGATTTATCATTATCAGACTATCGTCACCAAACGTCTCGGCATCAAACCCTCAGACAATAATTCGAGCAAACGTGAATTAGATTTTTGTCGTTTGAGCAGCTGCTTGGCTTCAGTAATAGCTGCGGATAACAAGCTTTTCTTTCCACATCAATTTCAGAGTCTGATTTCACATGACAAGCAATTATCAAACTTTTATCTGAATCACTTACTAGTGTTTTGAAGAAGTTCATAACTGGATTGTTTTCAGAGTCGCTCTCCTCTTGGTCTTCCTCTTGGTCTTCCTCTGGTCGACTGTTGTCACTCTCAGGAGCGTCTTCCTCCTCCGGTCCTGCGTCTGCGGTCACACTGCTGTCTGTCTCCGGTGGTGATTGGGCCTCTTGCTGTAGGTTTTCTGTCGCTGTCTCCTATACACCATCACACAAAGAATCAGCCTTTGAGGATTATGTTGCAGCGGCGGAGCTGATATGCAAGGACACTGAGTGTCTTAATCGCCAGCATTGAGATGGGAGCACAATTCCAACCATGCCTCTGCCTACTCGGGGCATTGTCAACAATCAGCCTTTTATTAATGTGTGTGTCCCACCCCTCACTCATTGATATTCAACAATGTGCGATAGTTATGCTCTGAGAAATGTCAGAAAACTAAAATACCTTGCGGTGTCCTTATGGTGCACATATTTACAATATAGCACTGAGCTGATTTATTTCTCTCTCTCTCTCTCTCTCTATATATATATATATATAATTAATTTGTTGTTTTGTTTGATTACAAATGATGAAGGTATATTTGTCATTGAATACAAGATAAAACCAATAAATTAGGGACAAACTCGAATTTTCATTTTTCATTTTATTGCAAAACATGTCAGTTCTTCAGTGTGAACCTTTCGTTGACGATTTATATAAAAACAGAAGCACTTTGCATCAATATGTGACAAAATATCTTTTTACAATCCAGCTGCAATTGTTGCCGCATGCGATAAAACACAATGAGGTAGATCGATATTTTTAGAAAACAAAAAAAAACAACATTCACAAAATTCCTTCAAGGTTTTATTGCTGTTCTGTGTTCGGCGCCACGTGAACGGTGATAGTAAGACTGTATCCCTGAGTCAGGATCTCTAACCCGCCGAGACTATATGCTGATTCTACGACAACTGAAGCACAAGCTGATTGCAACCTCTCGCGTAAAGCGTCCATGTCTGGTGCGACCTCCTCTGAAGTCACGGCGTCGCATTCGGCCTCCTCCGCGATGAGCTCTTCTTCGATGGTCTCGAGAACGGCCTCACCGCACTTTGCCACGGGCTCATCTGAAGTTTCAGAGTTCTCGACTGGAACATCCACAGAATTGTCTGTTTCATAAACGATCTCCTGCGTAACTCCATCCTTGGCTGTCTCTAAGATTACCACGAGCACTTCGGGTTTTGCCTGTGGCTCACTCAAGAATGCAACCACAGGTGGAGCTTCTTCATCAGAATCTTCCATCACAACCGTCTCCTCTTCCTCCTCTTGGACTGAAACACTCGGCTCGGACTCTTCTGTGGCTTCCACTGGGGTCACATCCACATCTTCGGGTTCCTCTACTTTGTTTTCCGTGACGACTGATTCTAGTGCGTTCTCCAACCTCTCTGTGTTTGCATCTTCTTCAGAAGGACTCAGATTTTCTTGTGCAGGTTCCACTGAGATAGAAAGAATTGGTTCTGGTGTTTCAATGCTTTGAGTTTGTGCCGGAACATCTTCAGATTCCTCGACTATCCTTTCCGTGACTTCAAGCAACTCTGAATCAGCTTCAACAACTGATTCCAGTGTGTTCTCCAACTCCTCTGTGGTTGCAGCTTCTTCACAAGGACTCATGTTTTCTTCTGTAGGTTCCTCTGAGGTAAGAAGATTTTGTTCTGGCGTTTTGATGCTTTCTGCTACAGGTTCTTCAGGAATGGTAAACCCTGCGATTTCTTCCTCAGTGGCAGATTTTTGGCTGGTGGTTTCTTCCTCTGGACGTTTAGGCACCGCTTCAATTTCGTTCGATAAAGCTTCTATAGCTTCTTCATTCAACTGCTCAGCAACTGTCTGGTCTTTGGGTGGGAGACTTGTCTCGTCCACAGGAGCTGTGAGGCCTAATTCTTGTTCTGCTGAGAGGGGCATGAACACGGTTGCAGTGATCACCTCCTCTTCTACCAGGTTTTCATTATCTGCTGCAGGCTCCTGGGGTTCGGGAACAGCGACGGCAAATTCCTGAGCGAGGACGTCAATCGCTGCCTCTGGTATCATCTCATCACCCTCACAGACAACGGCAAGACTTGGCTGTGATTCGTCAACTGTTTCTGGTCCCACGTCAGACTCCTCACTTATCTCAGCGTTCTCATCTGAAGTGATGGCGTCAGGAGTCGTCTCAGGCTCGACTTCATCTCCAGGGAGTTCCTCTGTGGTGCTGAGCTCACTGATGACAGTCTCTTCCTCGTCACACTTCTCTGAGGGTTCATCGTCGATCACAGGGCTCAGTTCGTCTGTTTCGCTTGTTTCTGGGGCAACGGCGTAATCGGTGGTGACGTTAACATGGGCGGATTCCTCCATAACCAGAATCACTGTCTTGCTCAGGGCAGGAAGTTCTTCTCCAGATGTGTCTTGGTTTTCAGGATTTGTGTCCTCATGAGTGACCTCACAGATAGTTTCCGTCACCAGAGTCACTATCTCTTCGTAAAGGGAGGGAGCGCCATTTTCTTCCTCGGGCTCTGGAGTGATGACATCAGCCTCAGGTTCGGTGGTTTCGATCAGCGCCACATCAGCTGACATGTCTCCAGCTTCTTCAGCATTTTCTTCAGTGATCTCTTCATCCAGCTCAACGAGGTCGATTGATTCAGGAACGTCAGAGAAAACCAGCTCAATGCAATCTGCCACCACTTTAGGAAGACCGGATATGACCTCCAGTGACACAGTCGTATCTTCCTCCTCTGTCGTGGATCTGTTTGGGTCTGATTCTGGTTCCGTAGCGATTTCTGGCTCAGTTTCCTCGGGTCCATTAAAACTCTCGTCCTCTGCATTGCACGGGCTGGTTTCAAAATGATCCGTCACCACCACCAGCTCTGCTCTGAACGTACGACTCTCGAACAAATCGTTCTCCGTCACCACCACCACCTCGTCACCGATGATCGCAGCTATCGGACTATCTGAGGCCTCCTCATTCGCAGTCTCCTCCACAGCCTCCTCAGCAATTATGACAGACAGATCCAGCGACTCTTCAGTCATCACCGACTCTATCGCAGCTTCCTCTTCCGCCGGGCTCTCAGACGACTTCACAGTTGTGTCTTCATCTTCATCTGTTTGCGTTGCAATGTCGACTTCGGTTGTTCTGTCGGTTTGCGTCGAAGTGTCGGCTCTTTGTGGATGTCCGACCTCCTCCTGGTTCTCGATGACGCTCGTTATAGCAGCTTCTTCTCGAGGGTTCAACTCCTTTATCATAAAAATTGACATTCATGTTTAGATGAAATACATTTTGTTTTTGTTTCCGGGATAAATATATCGACCACGTCCTTGATCACGCTGTGTGTTTAAAGTGAATGACCAGAAGAATAGAAACACCGCTGCATTGCAGAACAAGAGTTGTGTATTCGAATCTTTGATTTATTGAGCTTGTTGTTATGAAAGTGAAATCAAAATGTGTCCGTGTCAGTGAGATGTTGGTTTAAATCTATAGATGTCGTGGGATGTTGGATGATTAATAATGTTAATGATAAACACCTGCTTCAAAACACAACAGAATTCACTCTTTAACGTAGAATCAATGTATTACAATGCATTTTACAGATTTTCTGGCCTCAGTGATGATATTGTTTTTACGATTTTCTTTTTGCTTGTGTGTTTTTGTGATTAATGTTCTGTTAAATGTGAAAGTATTAAGAACATCTGAGTGATTTCATGCTGTTTGGTCAGTTTGGATTGTTTTTGAGATTAGTGCGGAACAGAAAAAAACATTTTTTTGTTTCATTGATGAAGCCCATAAATATAAAAGTTTTATTTCAAGATGAATTATTTCCTAAAAACCTTTGGGCTCTTGTGTAGAGTGTAGCAGGAGTTACTCACACATGAGGAAGCTGTTGTTTGAGAATTATTATCAGTTGTAGATTAACATGCATTTGTTAATTAACCAGCTAACATACTCACCGGCTGTGGATCAGCAGCAGGAGCACCTTCATCCGTTACATCTTCATTTGACGTCTCTGTTTGTTGAACCTTCTTGACATCTGCCGGAGCTTCTGTTTTTGTTTTGAACATTTTGCCAAAGACGGAAGTTTTCTTTGATTTACTCTTCTTGACTTCTGCCATCTGGACGGGGGCTTCGGGGATTTCAGGGATTTCAGGGATTTCAGGGATTTCAGGGATTTCAGGAATGACTTCGGCCATAGCAGGTTCCGATTCGACCACCACAAAATCCGGCTCTGTTGATTCGGTGGCGAGGTCCAGAGAGAAGGGCTCGTTGTTCTGGATGATTGTGGTGTCACCTCGAGCTGCAACAACAAAAAAAGTGATCACTATATGAAGAAAATAATCATGAATCATGAATTCAAACAGGGTGACAACTTTTTCAATAGATACTGAGAGTCAGCTGAATTTAGGAATTTTATCCATCAATGTATTTTTCAATTAACTGACAGAAACATTTTGATCATCAGCACTTTAAATGAGACAATTTAGATTTTGGAAACACTGGAACAAATGTTTATTGTACGTGTTTGAAGTGAAGTGTTTGCACTTGTATCGTGTGATAATTGTATTTCTTTCTGTAATTTTACGACTAACTTCAAATATATTTCTCTAATTTCAAGCCTACATTGCAAAAATCAAACTTTTGAATAACAGCATATGTAAGACTGGTACGCTAATTCACAGTTTTTATTGCTTAACATCTTTATTAATCTCTGCACATGCAAAATATCAAACTCGTGTATTGTGTGTACTTGAGCATGTAAACATGGGCTGGTCAATTTGAGAAAGTAGCATCTTTATCTCCTGCGCCAACATTAGCTCTTAGACAAACTCAGGTGCCAGTAGGAACATTTGTGTCACTGCTGCAACACTAATCACACGGTGACAGGTCAAATAGTCGCTCCGTGTCAGTGTCAGGAGACTACGCCTACACTGGAGAACTGGAGATACAATCCTGCTGGGAGTTACTATGTTTGCAGAGTGTTAAGGAGACCAGAGGACTAATCCAACATGGACATGGGCAGATCATCTGGTTTCGTCTGTCACACGCTGATTAACGTGTTTTCCCACGAAGCAAGATACAACCAAACAGAATAAATTGTGGTATATGATATTATTTCAACCTGCGATTCTCTAAATTTGAAGAGGGTTAGGGTTATTCATTCATCATTTTCAGAAAAGATTACTATTATTCATATTCATATTTTTCTTTTATTTAACTGAATAATAAAAAAAAAAAAGGAAATGTCTCTCACCATCAATCTCAATTCCAGTTGATGTGATGTTTGCAGCGATGCCGTTCGCTGATCCATTTTCATGCTTCTCTGGAACTTTCCCATTCTACAAAGAAAATAATACAGAACAAAATAAATTATAAATACTGATCCATACGAGCTGAGGGCAAGATGTGACTGTAAACAAACGACTGACCACACCAGCATTTCAGGAAACTTTAGAAAAACGACTTTTTCCCAGTTCAGCAGATTTAGAGGCAGCAGAGTTATAGATACCTCACAGGTAGTGTAACACGCCTGTTGGGAAATTTCCATCAGTTTACCTGGGTTAGCCCTTTGTGGGTGGACTGCTCGTTTCCCATTTTGATCCCAGTTCAGTTCAGATTCAACTGGAACACGCTGAAAAAATTGCAGAATCACAGTTTTGCTATTTTGCATTGAAAAGCAGAAATATGGCCTCAAACAAATAACTTGACTGTGGTTAAGTATTCATGCAACTACATGTATGTCATTTGCAAACCCTTCACATTTTGGCATTTTTACTTACCTTCTTCCACCTCTGCAAGTCCAGTGAAATCCTCCCGGAGAAAAAGATACTGTAAGTGTCCGTGACTGTGTCAGAGAGTCGCTCCTGCTGTTTTTAGCAGGCTGATTTATGTGTGCTCTAAATGGGTGGGACTGTTTTCAGGTGATCAATTGGATTTTCTCCAGTGACGAGCCCGTCGCTGCTCTTTGGTAAAGGCACATGATTAGGTCACGTTAATCTATTATCTGAGAACACTCCGACAAGATCACGGTGAGGTTCTGCTGTAATCAAACACGCTGTGATAAGGGGCTGCATCGCGGCTCTGTTGACAAATGTAGCTGGAAGTAGCAGGATGTGTGTTAAGGATATGAGCCTGGCACATTTCCACACGGCCAAAACAAAAGATAAATATGTTTGAAAGTACAACCCTGCTCCTTTAAACTGAATATTATGGTTTTAGAAAACTTTCAGCGTTTTACCATTTAGGTGATTACAATCTGGGGTTGTTGAAGCTTTCCGATTTAAATTCTGTAAATGATAAATCATAGAAACTATACAACTGCATTACTTTTATATTATTTCATAAAAGAAAAAGAAAAAAGAAGCTGTGTTTTATTTGCAAAGAGAATCAGGAAACTTCTCCATTATCTCAGTTAATCAAGACAGACAGTGAGCCCAGTAATGAAATCATCTGTCTTCAAATGCCTCCACATGGTCACACTGAAATGTCTTTGAGGGTCTGTCAATGCATCACTCCACACAGAGGACGTCAGTCATCAAACACAAAGTGACCGTAGCTCATCATTCTCATTTGTTATTATCCTCAACTTCACGTTTTCTTTGTCTCTGTTGTGAGTAAATGTTCAGAGATCCAAACTGATTGAAGCTGCTTTACTCCTAATGTTGTATTTTCATATTTGCTTTGACTCCAAAGAACCAAAGATTGTAATTTTTTTTTTCTTTCTCTCTGCTGTATTTATTGACTTTATCATGACACGGCCTGGAATCCTCACACACAGTGCTCCGATTGTGCAGCCTATAGCTTGCACATCGAGGTGGGAGTTGGATTCCCCTGTTTGGGTTGTGCACGTCTGTCTGACTTCATGCAGCTGAGAGACCTCAAGCAAACTCTTCATGATGTACCAACGCAGAACGGCCTACTAGTTTTATTATCTGCACGACGCTGACAAAAAGCCCATTGATCTTACGTCTGGTTGAAAGCAACAGTATTTCCAACGTATGACTCTTTCCCGACAGTGCGCTGCAGATACTCTGCTGCAGCTCGAATCTTTGATGTGGTGCTCTCCCTTAGATTTATTGACATGTTCCCGCAGCAGCTCATCTAAACTGCACCGGTGCTGCCCCAGCTTTGCAGATGCATTCGGTAAATATTGGGATTTGGGCGTAGCACTGTTTGCTGGAGAAGTATTTACAGAGCTGCAGTTCCGGTTGATATAATAACATGTCTGTTCTATCCAAAGCAAGTGTATACATATATATCTGTAATTGTTTGTATGATAAATGACAAATGGAAACCAAACAACTGAGTTTTCACTTCGTAGTGAAACTGACGAAAAATTAAATATCCTCAATCTGTGAGTGTCCGGCTGTGAGATAGGTTTCATGCTAAATTAAATTAAATTAATTTCAACATTAGCTGTGACATCGAGCTACAACAGGAGTTTAATATTTAACTGACAAACACAAAAAACACAAAAATAAAAAGAGACTTCACAAGTTCCTGCTGTTTTTCTCCACTGCGGCTCCACCGCTTGTCTTCCCGCTAGATGGCGGTACAACTTGTGCTCTCGCGTTATCTTCCTACCCGCTTTTGCGCAGTCGAGGAAGTGAAGATGGCAGCCGCCGTGAAGGGACCTGTCGTAAGTTTTTAAAAAATCTTTATTTCTAAATGTTCGCCCGCGTCGCGATTGAATGTTCTCCCGCGTGCTTTAACTGCGGGGGTCTCAAACAGAGACCCTCCGTGTGGAGGAAACAGACTCCGTGTCCGGTGTCGGGGGTGATTTTTAAAAAACACCGACACACCCTCGTGCAGCCCCGCTAGCAGCTACCGTTAGCTGTTAGCTTGGGAGCTAATGCAGCAGCTATATTTAGATGTAGTGGGTTGACTGTTAGCTTAAGGAGCTAACTATTATAAATATTAATAATAAAAATGATGTTGGCGTCACTGTGATATTGGACCACAGCGTCAGGACACCACCACAACCACCGCTTGCTTGCTAGCTAGCTAACGTTAGCAGCAGTGACCGTTCATCCTCACAGGTTTGATTCATTTAGCTTTAGCCACAGACTGAACTGGAACAGACAGGCAGCTGAACATTAATACAGATTTAAAGATGAGCGACTGAGGCTATAAGTTGTGCATTAGACTAAACAGGCTGCGACGTGATGGTGCAGCAGGTGCAAGAGAGAAACGACTTAAAATACAAGACGTAAGAAATATAAAAAGATGAACTAAGGCAGAAGTGGAGAGAGTGTTCGTGTCATATTCAATTTATAATCAAGTACAAACCTGAAGTACTTGTACATGAGTATTTCTATGCACTGACTCTTTATTCACTCTTTGTTTGTCTATTTATGTTTCATACAAAACTAATAAATCACAGAACAGGACACAAGTAGCTGGAGCTCAAATCAATTAAACACTTCATTGTTTTTTCACTTCATAACTAAATATAATCGCCATATATATATATATATATATAGTGTTGTAGATGAGACATAGAAAATATTAAAGTGTAATAAGGAGTAATGGTGTTAGTCTGTGTTTTGTTGCTCAAGTCCCGTGAGAAATAAATAATATATTCGTCCACGTCTTTGTGTTATTGGCTGAAACGTTTTCTGCCTCAGGGGCCGTTGTGTCTGAACAGTCCGATATTGGTTCTTCTTTCTCAGTACCACTGCTGACGTTCACTTTTGATGCACTTGTATTAAACTGAAGTATTTTAATGTTTTCCTACTTAACACTTCTGCTCCACCACATTTCAAAAGACAAATATTCGGTGTTTTTCACAGATACCTTTCAAACAGGTATTTAAATATGACGCTACGATGTGTAACCACGTGTTTTAAGAGGGTACCATTAGCTCCACTATGCCTGCATAGTGAGTACAGTTATTTTACTGGACCTTTAGTTGGCCGGAGTAGTTTTACTGTGTGGTATTTGTACTTTTATGTACGTAAGGGTCTGAGGACTTCTTCCACCGCTGCTCATTGTCTCATTGTTCGCAGGCGGTCGAAGACGTTAACGTCACTTTTGAAGATCAGCAGAAGATCAATAAATTCGCCCGGAACTCGAGTCGGATGTCGGAACTCAAGAGTGAAATAGAGGCAAAGAAAGTAAGTAATGTTTGTAACGTGGATACAGTCGGGTCACAGTTTACAAAGTCAGATTTTAATTACCACGTTTTGTTAAGACCTCGTATTCTGTCTGTGATCCAGATTTTAGGTTTCAATCCAGTTTTTCAGATATGCCTCGATAGGAATAACTATTTCATACAAGTCCTTTTTTCATCAGAGTTATAATGTTTAGTTTTTACTGAATCTATTGAAGAGTCACTGATTCAACTTCATGTGTATTCGCTGTTCTGTTAGACTTTATTTACTTACTGAAACGTTTTTATTTAATCTTTAGTTTGACCTCACTAAAAAAGGATCTAATTAATCAGCAATGCAAATTCCAGCTTCCGAAGTGACTGTAGAGTTAAATCGTCACCTGCTGATTCCTCTGAAACTCGGTTTGTTCAGCTGAGTCACAGTTAAGTGTGTGTGAAGAGCTCCGCGGCTGCTAATTTACTCCGACTCGTGTGTGAACAGCTCTGTAATGGTCTGCTGATGTCTCTGTGCAGAAATCGCTTCAGAACTTACAGGACGCCAGCGACGACCTCATGATGTTGGACGACGACTGTCAGTTGATCCCTTATCAAATCGGTAACGTGTTTGTCAGCCACACCCAGGAGGAAACGCAAGACATGCTGGAGACGGCTAAGGTGGGTTGTTCACCGCTCATTCATCCTCTTTAGAGTAGTACTGATATGTGAAAGACCCCCATTAAAGCAAAGTCTTCAAGTTAAACGACTGGGAGGTAATTTATCATCGAAGGATTCATACAGAAACTGTTGTTGCCTCTAGAAAGTGGCATCAGTAGTTTTTGTGATATTCGTATTTATGAGAAACATTCACGGGTCCTTTTTAATTCCTTTGAAGCAAAATGAAATCAGGAAGCATTTAAGTATCAGCGAGTTTCTTAGTGACAAATATTTTCAAAGCTTTTCATTATTTTTTCTACCAAATAAAATATAAAAACTTAATTTGCTCAGATTTCTGCCTCTGGTGAAAGATAACCTGAACAAAACAGTGTTTTTGAAAATTACTTTTTGACCAATTAGCCTGTTTTTAATCAGTGAATTAAACTACTTACTGATCTGAAGTCTTTAATGTGAGTGAAGCCTTAAATCTTTTAAATAAATAATCATGTAATGTTCTTTCAACTGAATGTTTGGAAATGAATTAGCTGTTGGAAGTATTGGTTCTATTATACGTCACTTCTTTCAGCTAAGTCTCAGTTTCGTGTTTTATTTAATAGATGTCTGAGCCACAAAAAGCTCTGAAATAGAGTTTCACGTGCTTCATACATTTACACAACCTGGTACAGTCTCCCACCTGTGGTCTCATCCAGAGAACTGTCCCAGATTCTAAGGAAATTCAGATTTATGAGGAAATAAAATGTTCAATCTATACACAAAACTCAACCAAATGATCCCCTTCATTTGTCTGTGCTGCGTCCTGCTGCCTCACTTGTGTGAAGAGCCAACTGGTGTGTTGTGTGTGTGTGTGTGTTGTGGTTGAACGGTGAGACAGCAAAGTAACGAACAAAGAAAAGACAGTTTGTCGTCTTTCTACCATTCAACTGTCAACGATGTGGAAACACGTCCGCAGCAACAAGAATTGATGTGAAAAATACACTTCTCTTCCTCGTGCAGCACAAAGAACTGTAATTGAATTTCTGTTCGCCAAGGACAGACACACAACACTTCAAAACATTTACTGACAACGTTTTCATTCCAGATCTATTATTTTGACAAAGATTGACGACAGCTTCACGAGTGGTTAGCGGACAGAAATCACGGAGCTTTACGTGTTCCAATATTTCCAGATTCACTCGTGTCGACTGTTGATTCTCTTCATTATCAGACTGTTTATTCTGATGGAAGCAGAACATGTACAAACTGTAGATGTGCCCATGAACTGGTTTAAATGAATCATTCAACGTTTTATGGAAGAAAGAAAAAAAAAAGCTTGTTTGCTTTCTGGAATCCTCTCAGTTAACAAGAAGCAGAGGACGATCTCGTTGAACTTTCAGCCAGAAAAAAAAAGTGTGTTTCACAAATCCCTTCGAGTGCTGGTGAGATTGAATGAATCGACTCCAGGTTCGGCCTCGTGTGTCCGAAAATGCTGTTTAGCCAGACGGCATTTTTCATAAAGGAGCGCTTGAGAGAGGAGCCGGGCGGTGTCGCTCCATAGCTGCTTCAGCACCGAGAGGGCGGGGCATTGAACGAGAGGGATTTTTACATCAGGCCTTGTCCTCCGCTCCGGCTCTTGTCCCTGTTCGTCCTTGTGTTTGCACCTTCATCGTCGCACAACAGGAGCACTGCACAGGCCTGCACTGGTTGATGTGGAGCAGCCGGCTGGATGAGAAACCACTCATTATATCCACCGTGCACATTTTTGCACTCAGTTCTTTTCAGCCTTCAGAATGTGTTCTCGGTGACACCACTACTGAAAGTCACGTATTCAAAGCTGCTTGATTTGAAAAGTCTAAAGCACAGACTGTAAATAAAGATGGACGTCTGCTCGAAAGTGAAGCGTTAGCGGATGGGACATCTCTCTCATAGATTTTTGGTCGTCGTTATTAAACCGACGTGTGTTTATTTATTCACACGCAGTCTTAAGCTTGTTGTTGCTTCTGTGGGAGGAAATCTCAGTGGCTGTTTTCTAACTGTTTCTGAATCTCCAAACAGAAAGCACTGGAGCAGGAGGTCGGAGGCCTCGAGGAGAAAGTGTCAGGGATACAGCAAGTGTTGGGGGATCTGAAGATCCAGCTCTACGCCAAGTTCGGTAACAACATTAACCTGGAGGCAGATGAAAGCTGAGCAGTGAAATGGACTTTGACAGTTTCGCCAACACAGACTTTTTCATGCAGCTCTCGTGTCACATCCGCAGGACGTTTGCCAAACCGAGCATCAGCAGCTTAGGTTTGTAGCTTCTGGCTTTTGTTAACACAGATGATATTCACAAAGACACAAAGGTAAAAATAAATAAATACACATCATGTAATTTAATCGGCCTCTTATTTAATGTTTCTTTTTTTTTACTTGTTATAGAGGCTGAAGTAAAAAAAAAAAAAGAGTCTTAACATCTGTTCAACATTCTGCACTAACACCAATGTCATTTGCGAACCTGCTGCATATTTGATTCCCTGAAAGTTTTGGATTAAGTTAATAAAACTTCTCAGTTCGACTCTGTGCTCAGTGAATTTGTGATTTTCCAATGAAAGCACCGAAAGTGTCCGACCTGCTTGACGTTATAAAGAGCACCGTGGTGTCAACACTTCAAATCAAGTTGTAGTTGATTAAATAAGTTCGCTCTGTCACTGAATTACACAGTGAGACCCCCCCACCCTGTGTTTCCTTTCTAAAATAAATGAAAGAAATAATAAATATTGAGTCGGAAATGCCGTCACAAGCTTCGCAGAGACACGTCAACATGTCTTAAATAAGTTACCTCATCTTAGTCTGTGACCACGTTGTTTTTTTAAAACATGATTTAGCAAAGGAAGGAGTGAAAATACTGAAATCATCCAAACTGTCTGGATTCAAGAGACAGAAGCTTTTATCATTTGGGAAGAGAAAATAAATCCCCAACTACACAGACTTCTGTGGCAGGTGTTTCAGAAATGTATTTTGAAATGTCTGAACAGCTGAGTGGACACAAGAGCCTCCATGAAAGTTTCAAATGAGTCTGGTTCTATTTCATTAAAGTAAATAACATTTGATTTGGATATTAAGACGCAGGATGAAGAGACCAGACACGAATTTCACTCACAAAACTTAACTATTAATCATCGAGTCGTCACGTGAACCAGATGAACGAGCAGGAGTCGGGTCAACGTCACCTCGAATGTTAAACACGATACAGAGGAAGGAGAAACACTTCCTGAGCTCACGTAAGAAACATGATCAAGACTTGTGAAACGTTAAAACATGACAGCTGGGACAGTTTGTTGATAAATCAAATAATGGATCAAAACGTCATTAAAAGTAAATGGAAAACTTTTTGGCAGTTAGACAAATGAAATAGATTTTTTTTTTTAAATCCCATTTTACAGAATAACAATTTAAATCAATCAAGAAAATAATCAGGAAATTATTCAATGATGAAAATATTTTTTTTTGTGGCTTTGTGCCTGTCGCACACAACTGTTAATGAATCGGTCTTAATAATACAGATAATACACTTTTATACTGTTAATGAGCTTATTCCCGAGAAACCACTGATTCAAAGTCAACAACTGAACATATTAAGAAAAATCTATAAAGTGATAGTTACAAAAACAATACCCACGGCCCTTTTTTAAAAAGCTCCTCTCCCAAACAAAATAGGATTCTGGTGAAATGGCAGCAGATTCTCTTCTCTGAACATCTGTCCTCCATTTTCCCAGTTAATTGTCTGTATATTCTGGACGGTTTGGTGGCTCCCGCAAATATCAACAAGCGCACAAACCTCATTAAATCGGGCCCTCGAGGGTGGGCTGCACCAGCTAATAAAATATCTGGAATTAAAGAAAGAAAGAAAGGGGGACCTTGAAGTTGCAGCAAACACCTCTGGAGGATCAAGATCTCAATTAACAAGTTCCTCCTCCCGGAAGGTTTCTGCGATAAAGAGCAGCTCCTCCCTCACAGGCTGGTGTTTACGCACAGCTTGTTAAAGCCCAGCTCAGAGGAACACACATGGAAATGACTGGACTTATTTCCCTCGCGTCCTTGTTTACTCTCTGCCTTTATCTGTTTATTTCTCTCTCTGTCCCCTCCCTCCGCTGCGTCCTGATGACACAGATGTTGATATTTATCCACTGAGGCAGCCGGTAACACCTGATCTTCAAATATGTTGCCGCAGTCGACCAGAATCTGCCGATAAAAGGATTTTATGAGACATAAAAATGTTAATTGGACACTGAAATAAATAACATTAACAAAGTGATTTACACAGAAAAAACCCCAAAATGTATTTATCAATTAAAGAAAACAAATGATAAAATACATCATTTAAAGTGGAAACAGTTAAAATTATTATAAAAACAAGTAAAAGTAAGTTTGGAGACTTGATTAAAACGCAGAAGGCAGCATTTCGAGTCCTCAGACAAACTTTTTTACATACTGTGTAGTTATATTTGTAAAACAAAATGTTCATGAGAGGTAACACAATCTAATTTATAGTATATTTGTGATATTGAAGAATAAGCAGTGGAGATGATGGATGTTTGTGGAACTCGTTCTCCGATCTGAGTGCAGACGCAGCAGAAACAGACCAGAGGGTGTCTCTGTCTCCCCAGTAATTCAAATATACTTTCAATGGCACCGAGTCGAGCTGTGAGTTTACCAGACGAGGCTGCAACTTGTAAATATTGAACAACTACGTCAAACTTGGTCACATCACGGGTCCTCAAGAAGAATTTTCAATGAGGACCCCTCCCCCCCCCGACACTCCTCAGACATGTGGGGCCGTCGATACTTGATGCGAGATGATAACTGCAGGTAGCATCTACAGCTGAGATGGAGTTTTACATCAGACTCAAAAGGTGATGACGTCCTTTCCGTCACTTCCTGTGCACGTGCACTCCGTTCTGCTTCACGTGCGGAGGCTGAGGAAATATATTCTGTCACTCATCTCATCTCTGTCCGTCAAGCTGAACAGCCGAGACAATAAAAGCTCAATTCCACTGTGGCTGCACATGAACCGTGTGTGTGTGTGTGTGTGTGCGTGCGTGTGTGCGTGTGCGATCAGTGCTTTGAAAACAAACTGGTGCCTCGGAGCTGACATCCACTGGTTTATTTAAAGATTAGTTTATCTTTCATTTATGAATTCGCTGAGCTGGAAATTAAAACACCGTGTTCCATCAAGTCTCCGTCTTGATGCGTCTGAAACGTGTGGGAGTCTTCAGCTCGTGCGTTTCCATCGGTTTCCTGCTTCAATCAGAGATCCCGTAATAAACCGAGAATATTACCTCACACAGGTATTTCCACATCCACCGTGGAGCAGTGGAGCGGATAACTTCCTGTGTGGAAGACAATAAGCATTTCAATGAATATCATTATTACCCAAGACTGAATTTATTTCTGTCACTTACTTCACAAAGACTTTGAAGAAACCCGACGCGTCCAAACCTCGAATCTTGTCTTAAGATCTGACCGATGCTTTAAAGGTCCAGTGTGTGAGATTCAGGTGAAAGGAAACTAAGAAATGTAATGTAGAATAATCCTCATGATGTTTTTCACTTGTTCGTTTCATCTAAATCGTATGAATTGAAGTTTTCTTTACCCCAGAAAAGACCCTTTATATTTAAATACTGTATATTTACATCGAGGGGACCCTCTCCACGGAGGCCGCCATGTTTATTTACATCAGTCCAGACTGAACAAACTAAACACCCTCTGAGTTTTTTGTCTCGCTGAATATCTCGTAGCATTTTCTCTTCACACCGTCGTGTTGTGTTGAACGTAGGATCTGGTCTCAGCAGCCGTCTGTTTGACTCTCCTGCTCTCACCGTTTCAGCCAGACCAGTGTTGTGACTCCAGGGATTCTGTAAAAGTCAGCGAGTAAAGAGCTCGGACAGAAGAGCGGGTCGTCCGGCGAACGTTCAAGTGTTTAAGTGGATGCAGCTCCCGAATGACCCCTGAGGGTCCGTGCCGGTGAGTGCAAGAGAAAGTGAAGCGTCCAGACGTCCTGCGTGTGAATGTTCTGTAAAGCGCTTTTTGAGCCGTCGACACCTTGTGAGTTATTAACAACTTCTCAAACAAAGGGTTTGTTTTTTTACAAAGGAGCTTTTGTGTCTTCACGCTCAATAATGACGCGGTCCGCTCGGTGAGCTGTGAGGTTTGTGCTGACCCAAGCTGTTGCACTTAAACTGGGACTCGCTGGACGTTTTGTATGGGACCAATGAATGGGACTCTTATTTCCACCAGCAGACACACGCCTCCTTATTTCCTGCAGTGGGATTTAAACAGTACGCCCTCCCCGGGTGCCGCCCCCTCACCTGAACGCTGCAGGGATTTTCCACTTGTTTGCAAATGTGACTCGGACAATCTGTATGAACGCAATCGTCCACAGTTGTGTCTAGACGATTGCCCAGCTCGACGGCAGACACTCGGTCTTGTTGCTAATAAGGTGTCAGAGTCAAATTTTACTTCCCCACTAAGAGGAGGGGGAGGGGGTGTTATTTTGGAAGCACACATACTTCAGGGTCTCACAGTCTCGGTGGTCCAGTCCCTCTTCTTCAATCCGAACTTCTGTGAATCAAACAACTTCCCTCTAATTGCACTGACTGAAGAGTGAATGCTTCTCTTTCACTCCAGCAGGATTTTTTTTCCCAAAGTAGAAATTCAAACCAATGATCCTTCAGTGGTATTAGTGTCGCGCCGACTCAGCGCCGCTGTCGTCCAATTAGCTTCAATTTATGGCGCAACAACAGCGAATAACAGCGCGGAAGATTTCATACGGGGGCATTTTTTCAGTTATTACTATAATCCCTCTAGTTTCCATGTCCACACCCCCCCCCCTGCTCTTTGAAACATACTCATGGCTTAATTAATGATCTTAAAGAAGAAGAGGGAAGAAAAAAAACTGAATGAATTATGACTTGTCGTTTGTTTTTCATCCAATTAAATCCAGATTTTAAGCACAAACAAATCCAGCATCTGCTCTGTGGACGGAGGAGCTGCTCTCACATCGGTTACAGTCTGAATCACGACGACGACCGAGTTCAGACAAAGAGGCAGAGTTTCAGTCTAACGTGATTCTCTCAACGTAGATACTGTGTCTGTCCCCGAGACCACCTAAATGAATGAAATCCAAAGTAAGCAGCAACAGGAGATATATAAACAAACCTAATAAAAGTGGAAACAACTTCTATGGCACAACCCAAACAAATAGAGGAATTAGATTTAGACAATCGTCTGTAAAAACAAATCATTCAGTGATTTAATCTATCACTGAGATTTATTCTGTATAATCTGTGGCAGTAAGAAAAAGAGCTCTATAGCCTATTAATCAAC